TGACATTATTGTACATATGTATTCTTTATCAGACGCTCGTAGAGCTCTAGAGTTCCATTACCATTTTCATATCACATTTTGCCGCATCAATTTAGAAGCTACTGATAAGAATTAAAATCAAAAAATATGAACATATGTTATCAATTCTACGATTTTTATTTATTGAATTAAACGTGGTAATCGATAAAGAAATATAATGACTTTGAATAGATCCAGACGAAAAATTTATTACATGTTTGATTATTTACTGTAATACATTAATTTATTTTGATTATTTGTTTATAATCTTACAATCTATCATAATTAAAATTAAATATTGTAATATATACGAAATAAGATATAAGACAAGATATCTCATAGCTACAAACGGAACATAGAATTTTATATTTTAAGATTATCTGTATACAAATATTGTATAGCATTAATCCTGACAGTTATGTTTGGTCGAGTGGTAATAAACTTTACACGGTAGTATACCTGGTAAGAGGACAGAAACAATAAACAAAATATAAAGGATATAACTTCTATTGGCGCGGTAAAGTCTAAAGAAAAAAACATAATAAAGTCAACCGCCTTATACCATTTGTTTTGTTTGTTATATCGTTCTAACATTACTTGTTATAAATATACTGGATGAATCATATCTATCTAGAATTGTAATATTCTAGTCTAACTAAAAATATTAAAAAAAGTTTTCAAAGGAGATTCGTTCTATCCCGAGGCGGAAGTAGATAGATTAATATCACTAATAGCTTTAGAAATAAGTACGTAAGGATATAGCATGAAAGTTAATTTTATTTTTTAAGATCAAATCATATATATTTTCTGCCTTAACGTCTTCTTCACTTGTATCACGATACATGTATGATGGATACCGAATATAATAAATATAATGTAATAAATAGATTTTCATCTATCTAAATATAATAGACATAATCTAATAGATTCTGCGAAACAGTTCCTTTCAAACAGAAATACATCTATCGTAATACACATATGATGGATATCGAATGATCCAATGGATGCATTCACACGATGATTCAATATCGAGTTACCGATTTTGTGTATCCTGAGAATCTCAGCCTGAGAATCCAGCGATATTTTATACGGTACGATGTTGACAGCCGAAACGTTAAAGTCATTAACATTAAACATACTAACGTCTGGTCAAATGACCAGTTTGAAAATCTAATTTAAAATTCTTATTTTATTTTTTTTGTTCATTTATATAATTTTTTCATATTACATATATCGAACAGTAATGTGTCGGAAATATTTGCCGAGAGTTCATCGAAGAATGAAATATGACAGAGAACTTCTACCACAACTTTGAAATACAGAAACAAAATTAAAAAAAAAAAAATTAAAAAGTCTTTCTGCTGAGTTTAACATTTGTAGTGAATGAACATGTACTGAAGTACGAGATGGGTACATCAAACATTTTCTTCAATCATCTGTAACTCGAAAACTAAGCTAGGATATAGATATAGATTGATATGATATTTTTTATTCTACTGTGTAGATTCACGAATGAAATATTACATGAAT